CTTTAAAGAAGTTAAAACTTAACTGTCTAAAAGTTTATGTATCATTTCTTCATTGTTTCTTAGCAATTGCTGTAAAGCACAATAATTTTCATGCAGGAAGCTGAAAAAGCAGCTTGTTCTAAAGGAAACTGTCATGTAGTTCCTTCCTTTCTAAACTTTAAGCTGAATGCTTTTCCTCACTCATAGGTTCAAGGGCTTAGTTTTCATGCTTGGAAATAAACTGAACACCACCTGCCACTTAGTCACTAAGAGAATGTCTTGAAGCTGCTGCAAAACAGCTGTACTCAGTTTAAGTTTTTAAGGTGCTTAGAGCATGTGGTAAATAAGTTTTTTTTCATAATGATTACTATTTAGAAATAAAGTAACATCAAAACATACACCAGAGGATCAGGCTTGATGCCTTGGGTACATTTGAATTGTGATATTCTCATCACTGCAGGGGCTGGTACTTTGAAAATTTGATTTTGAAATGCAGGATTAGTATTCTCCCAAAAGTGATTTTGGTATATTTTAGAGTTTCGTTTGTTTGTTTTGTTTTGTTTAAAAATGTTTCAGCCCTTTGTATTATGAAGTGGAGACAAAAGTAATCCTAAACATTTCTGATATAAAATTATTCAGTGTATCTACTGACTTTACTCAAGAAGCTACTGATAAGTTTAAATAATTCATTCCACATATCTGTTCCAGTGTGGCCAGTTTGCTCAAGTCAGTAGCACCTGGTGTCCTTGTTGACACTGACAGAGGAAGTGAGACTACCAGTAATCCATTTTTATTTAGTATAAATAGTCTGTTTGTTTTCCATCAGATCACTAAAAGCTGTGTTCATGTAAATTGTCAAAGCTCTCAATTCACTTGGAAATTATCCAGAAACTTGTATTTTACTATTGAATGTTATCTGGGAAAAAGAATGTGGAAACCCTACTAGAAATTAAGTCTTTAAAAAAAATAGAAATTGTCTAGTTTTTGTTGTCAGCAGTACTAGGAGCAATGTAAAAAACACAAAACTAGATTCCCACATAGCTCAATTATTTTCCTCACAGTGGGCTGAGTGGCTTAAAATCTGTAACTGTGTCAGATAGAGGGGAAGAACCGCATAGGGTCTATAGGGTTTGTCCTTCAATCTCAAAATTGTTTTACGTATTTTAATTACTAATGATCCTTAGAGTTGGGCTGTGTCCTATTTATTCCAAAACTTTGAGATATGAACTTAACAGTAACAGTGTGTCTGGAGAAGTAGCAGAGGGTGAGCAGGACTTAAATTAAAGGGCAAGATAGGACCTACTTAACAGGCCAACAACAGTTCTGTAGCCTTGATGTGAGAGTTAACTTTCCTGGACTAGATAGTTGCTGGGACCAAACCAGTGGCTGATCCCATGGCATTTTTGTTAGCAGAAGTGTGGCATCTGAGAGTCTGGGTAGGCAAACAGAAAACTGGGGATGAGTCTAGAAGAGGCAGCAGGGTAGAAGGAGCTCTGAAGGGAGCCAGGACGTGACTGCTGGTCCCAGTTGTCTGCAACTAGATTTGTAACATCAGAAAAATCACTTCTTTGGGCCTCTGTTGCTTCATTTATAAACAGGGGAATTGAAACTCATAATCTCAGATCCCCTTCCAGCTTCTGGCTTTAAAAGGATTTGACCAATGCAGTGCCATGCCTTCTTCACATTATACAAGTTGTAGAACTGAAACTTCAAATACATTCAGCTTATGTGCCCAGTCACCAGGTTCTGTCCACTTGTCTCATGGAAGAAAGGTCTTTTTTTCTTTTCCCACATGTGATGAGGTGTTTATTATGTATCAAGATGATTACTTCATTCATTTGCCTTCTACTCTTCACTTCCCTCAGCCCCCTAAGTCATCCTATTCTCAGGGTGAATCCCTTTGGCTCCCTCCTCTCTGTCCATGCCATCCAATGTTCTGAGTGTCATCTCCCTTAAATACTACTTTAATCATAGCATTCCTTGCTCAGAAATCCTCTCCCACTCAGTGCAGGGTTTATTTATGTTATGTTATTTAATTTTTTGGTACTGGGGATCAAATTCATGACCTTGCACTTGCCAGTCAGGTGCTTATGCCGCTGAGCTAAATCCCTGGTCCTCAGTGTAGTTTTTAAGGTCCTCTATAATCTTATTCCCCTCATGACCATTTAGTTTTATTTTCTGTCTCTCCACCACCCCCTGCCAGGTTCTAGACCAGATAGTGAGGCAAATGTGAGTGAGACTGGCTTGGTTACTTTATAGAAGGAAGGGGCTGAGCTCTCACAGAAGTTCCACCTTCATTTATTTTTCACTCATTTCCTTCCTTCCTTTTTGTCCTTGTTTCCCACTCACTTGATGACTCTGCTTCCTTGTGCCTTAAATATAGAAACTGTTGAGAACCATCTGTGCATTTCTACCTGCCCAGTATACGCCCATGTGGAAATATACTTAGCTGTCCTTGCAGGGCATGAACATTCTCAGCTTCTGTCTAAGATATGTCTTCTTTATGACTACCTCACAAATTGCTTTGCAAAGTATGTCCTTCCTGACAATTCTTCCTCTTTGATGGTGTGAGTGAGGTGCAAAGAAATGGTGGTGTCTCCATTGCTTTCTCATCACTGAGACGCAATAGTTGACATCCACAGCTCTAAGGAAGAAAGGTATATTTTGGCTCACAGTTTGTAGAGGTTTTAGTCTGTAGTCAGTTGGCCTGAAGGCAGGGCACTATGGCAGTGGGGCATAGCAGAAGAGAAACTGTTTGTGACATGGTAGGCAGGAAGCAGAGAGACCTCAAAGGAGGAGGGAGGGAGTACAATCTCCCAGGCTACACTCCCCGTGAGCTACTTCCTTCGACCAAACTTCAACTCCTAACATCACATTTAGCTATAAACTAATAACTAGACTAACCCATTTATAAGAGTATCACACCCCCATGATCCAATCACCTCCCAAAAACCTCACTTATATACACATGAGGCGTGAGGGTGGGGCATCTAGAAATAAATCGTAACCCTTGGAGGGAGTTTAAAATCGTGACCATGAAGCAGGAATGACCACATCAGGGAAGAAGGGAAGAGCAGAAAGGTATTGGGATCTGTTAAGTTCAAGATTGTTTGATTCAGAATTTGAGAAAAGGGAAATTGGAAATTGTGATCACATGGCAGATGTGTGAAGTTTGTATGTTGGAGGGATGTGCTTTTAGGGGTGAGTAGCTAAAGAAGGGTGACGGGTTGTTGGAGAACAGTCACAATTGATGGAGGAAGGGCAATAGTTTGGTGATAAGCGATTCAAAGCTGAAAGGTGTCAGACAGGGGCAAGAGAATCAGGTAGAAATAATGATGAACTGGGTAAATATCTGCCCCACTTCCTGTACTAGCAATACAGTGTGTGTGTGGTGGGGAGTGGTTATGAGACCAAAATCACTCACTGCTTGGAAGGACTACAAGGGTAATGACCTCTTCAAAGTCAGCAAGCACCAGGCCTTCCTGCCTCTGCTTTATACCAGGGCTATAGTGTATTCCTACCTTAGCAGCCAGAGCAGTCACTTTTACTAGCGGCCTAACCTATCACTGCAGTAGCAATCCAGTGTATTCATTTCTAGCTCAGTCAGAGGCCTACAGAGCCAACCTCTTGTGGAGGCCTTCCAAATCTCAGCTCCGTTGCTGCTTCTGTGACAGGCACTCTGGCTGCTTGGTGGGCTAAACTGCCCCAGAAATATTCTTGCCATGGGCTTTTACAGTTGCTGTTGGCTCTGCCTGGAAGGCTTCTGTGTGTCTTTGTAGGTATCTGTGTAGCTTTCCCTTCACCTCTTTTAGCTTTGTATCTCCATGGACAGAAGTGTCAGGGCTACCGTGGTCAACATCTGACATGGTGTCATTCACTGCTTACAACTTCCTTTCCTGCCTTATTTTTCTAGGAGAGGACTCAGCACTGTTTGTCAGGATGTATTTTATTTTTTAGTTCTTGTCATATCTCATGAGGGTAGGTTTTTGTCTGGGTTACCGTATCTTTATTTCTTAATAGTGTATGTTCTTCATCTAGAACAAAAATTGGCAAGTAGCAGATGTTTACAAATATTAGTTGAATGTAGAATAAATGAATAACGAAGAAAATGAAGGAAGGAATGTGTAGATTAGCAAACAGATGTAGGAGGCATAAAGCAGGAAAGGATGTATTCATATTAGGTATGTCAGAATTCAGTATCTGGGGGTGAGGGATATGATTATTATTGTGGGAGGTTGAAATGCTGAGAATGAGAAGGCTCCTGTTTTTTAAGAAGTTGAATTACTGGGACATTGAATAATTAGAAGAAATTCTTACTTCCCTCCTAGGATGGCAGGAGATTACACAAAGAGGAAAAACTATTAGGCTCAAAATTGCTGAATAATTTAGGATGGCTCTGGGTTGTCAGTAGATGACTATAACAAAAATTAGAGGGAGGAGTTCACTTAAAAAAAAAGTATGTCTACAAAGAGACAATATAGTAGTTAGAAAGATATCTCTCCTCCTACCCCTCAAATTCAGATTACATTTAGTTAAATATGAACTGTTTTGGCTTAGTAGATCTCTTGATTTGTTTTTTAAAGAATGAAACATGTTACACATAAAGAACTAAAAGAGCTTTGAAAAGTCTGTTGCTCTGGCATGGTATACCAAGAGTCTGTTGATAAAAACAGTTGTATGGATTGCTAGTTCCTTTGAATCTTTTAAGGAGTAGAGTAACTAGCATTTACTTTAAAGCTGTCACAGGTTGAAAATTCAGAGTATGATTGTACTGTTATATTTGTGGTTGGAAATTTTTAATGTTGCCAAAATCTTCCCAATTGACATTTGAATAACTCAAATTATGTTTCTGGTAAATTTATTAAAGTACCTTGCCAGACCATAGTGTTTTATAAAGTTGGCAGCATATTGCTGATGACCTAATTCATAATTCAGACTCAGTTGTAAAGTGTTCTAAATGTCTCAATATACAACTATTCATTTTACCCATTTGAAGTATATTTTATTTTATTTTATTTTCACATCAGATGAGTAATGTGCCGATGTCGTAACAAGGTTTGAAGGAGCACATGTCATGCATTCAGCATGAGCGCCCAATCATCACGCTTATGAACCTGAGGATCTGAAGTATATTTTAAAGATGCTTCACATGAACGGATTAATGTCCCTTAATCCAAATGAGCTGAACGTAATTAAATATTTAAAATCCCAGTTCCTACATTTATTCTGCCTTCAGGTGTAGAGTACCTTCCAGAACATAGGAAGTAGTTGACTTCAAACAAGACTCTTCTAAGTAAGTTCCTTTCCTGCCAGCTCTTCAGGCTGTGTTCTGCCATGCCTGTGTTGGCTGTGATCTCCCCTAAGTTTTGCCTTCCACCCATAGCTGTCAAACATTGCTGTATTTTCTTCTATTCTGATTTGCTTTAGTTCATTTTCTTCCTCTTTTTCTAATCCCCTCAGATCAGTGAAGTTCTCATTATCCTTTAGAACTCAGTTTAAATAACCTTCTCAGGGAAGTCATTGTTGATTCTTCTCTTCCTAGTATACTGAGTCCCTTTGCTGTGCACTGTCATCATTATGCCTTCTCATTATAACTTACTGTACCTAATTATAATTATATACTTCATGTCCATATGGCCACATAAATCTGTGAACTCCAAGGAACCATCTTGTTTGTCTTATTAATTACTGTATTTTTAGCACCTAAAATAGTGTCTGGCATATGGAAAGCACTTTACAGATATTTTTTAAATGAAAGAATGAGCAAAAGTCCTGGGTTTTTCCTTCTTGCCTTCACAAGTTTGCTAGTGACCACTATTATTTGCAGCACCAGTTGATGGAAGTATTTGTAGTACTGTACTGAGAAGAGTCAAGTCACTGATAGGTTTGAAGCTGTCTGTGTTGACAGTGATTGGGAGGATGACCTCAAATCTCCTTCAGCTCTCAGTTGGCTTACTGAGAATGCTTTATAGAGCAAAAGATCTGGTTATTGTTAATGATTTAATCTGCTGTGGCAATCCCAGAAGGAGGAATTATAGAAAAATAAGTAAAACTAAGTAAATTTCTGTGAAGTATTTTTTGTTTTGCTTTTAGTTTCCCCCCAAATCTTAATGCTGTGAATCTGCTAGAATTATACTGCCATATTTTAAGATTTTAAGACAAAGCTCCATAATGTTAATCACGTGATATGCATGCATCATGTGATAGGTGTGGATACCCTTATCCATCATAAGGATAGTGATAGACATAAATATTTTGAACAAATCATCCAAAGCTCATGGTGATGGACCCAGTTTACATTTCGAACCCTTCAGTGTCCATCTGCACTTTGCCTTCATACAGACAAATTTCTGGTGTTCATTTGCCTATGGAACATTTGTCCAGAATAACCCTCTAACCCTACCTCCTTCCTCACATTCCTTTGCTAACTTATTCATATTTCAAGTGTTAAATTAGATATTGTTTCCAAAGAAATGCTACCATCCTACTTCTAGATTAGATATCCTGCTTTTAGGTAACATCTTGTACTCTTAATTTTTGGTGATGTAATTATATTGCCCATTCTCAGATGCAGCACTGATTTTTTTTTTTTAACATGCTCATCTCATGATCTGATATTTAATACCCTTTTAGGCTTTTGACATTTGGCCTGCTGGGTCCATGATTCTTGGTGTCTTGACATTTCCTTTACTTTAGCAGTTTCTAGAAATGGTTTTAATAACTTATATCAGGTTTGTCTACTTTTGCACTGATATTTTGAGCTGAATAATTACATTATAGAGAACTGTTATTGTTAATATTTTTGTGGGATGTTTAGCTGCATTCCTGGTCTTTACTCAGTAGTTGCCAGTCACCCATTAACAGCTGTGACAATCAAAAATGTCTCCAAACATTGTCAAGTGTCCCCTAGGGGCACAGTCACCCCCAAATGAGAGCTACCAATCTAGAAGGAAAACTCTTTGAGGCAAGTTCTATGTTTACGAGAATGTTCATACCCCTACCTCAGCACACATCAGTCTTTTTAAATGTACTGAGTTAAATTAATGAATAAGCTGGGAGTAGGGTGAGAGTGTTGAGCAGGGGATGAATGGAGAGAAGAATGGAGGTGCTGGCTTGAGTCTTTACTGTCATGCCAAGTGATTTTGAGATAGTTCATGAATATAGAAAAATTTGGAGAATAATACAACTTCTACCCTGCTTAGTCAAATTTTGCCATTATTGCCTTTCATTAAAAGATAAAGATGGTACAAAATAAGTAATACATACTGTGCATATACACACCTAGGTGATACCATCTCTGGACCCCTCCAGCTGCTACTTACTCATTTTCCTTCTGTAGAAGAACCATTGTCCTGAAGTTTGTAGTTCCCATGCATGGCTTTGTACATGTGTAAATATTTATAATATAGTTTATGATCTTGATCTTTGTATGCTACAGTATCATAATGTATATATTTCTGTGACTTGATTTTTTTTATTAACATTTTTTGCAACATGTATCTGTGTAAATGTGTAGCAGAGCACCTTCATTTTTGTTATGTAGTATCCTAGTACTGTACTACAATTTATTCATTCTTCTGTAAATTGAAGTTTTGGTTTTGTGCTTTGCAATTAGCATTATCATGAACATTATATTACATATCTTCTTATGAATGTTTGCTGGCTTGTCCAGGGAAAGTTTATTTGTACACATTTATGTTATGTGTGTGTATGTATGTATGTATGTATGTATATAGTGCTGGGGATCAAACTCAGGGTGTTTTCAAGGTAAGGCAAGCACAAGCACTCTACCATTGAACCCATCCAAAGCTGTACCTAGACATAAAGTTGCTCATGCATAAGATATGTGTGTTCTCAGCCAGATGTTATATTATCATTTTCAATAGTAGTTGTTGAAATTTCAGCGCCTAAAAGCATTGTCTGAGAATCCCTGTTGTTTTTCATTCTTGCCAAATCTTCATGTTGTCAGACTTTCAGGTTTTTATCAATTTAAAATAACACATTTGCTTGATATCTAGTGCATTTGAACATTACTTCTTATATTTGTTTCACTGATTCAGTTTTTTACTTTGTAAATTTTTTTAACGTTTTTCTTATGTTTTTTTTTTTGTTGGATTTTATCTTATTTTTAGACCTTTATTCCAGATTAGCATTTTGTTGATATTTAGCACAGCAGATGTTTCCCATATTTCAAATGTTCCCCACATGGCTTATCATTCCACTTTGTGGTGTGCTTTACCATGCTGCCTTTTGATTCTTGTTGTTGTTGTTTTGTTTTGTTTTCTTCCTTGAGATATGGGCTAGTTTTGTGGTTCAGGCTGTCCTTGAACTCTTATGTAGCCCAGGCTGCCTCAAACTCACTACCATCCTCCTGCCTCAGCCTCCAAAATGCTGAGATTATAGGCATGTGCCACCATGACCAGCTTTAAATTTTAATCAAGTAATGTTTATCATAAAAACAAGTAATGTTTTTCCATATTCAATACAGCTGTGCTCAAGGAATTTAGGGTCATAAAGAGATCCTACCATGTTTCCTTCTAAAAGTCTGTTCTGTTTTTTCACTAATTCTAATTCACATGAGTTCATTTTTGTGTGTAAATATGAAAAGGGGAAAAACTTTTCATGCAAATAAATTGGTTGTACAAGCCAGAACCACTGATTGCATAGTTCATCTTTTTCCCAATTCTTTGCAATGTCACCTTGTCATGTATTTGGGTTGCTTACTATACTGATAGATTGTCTTGCACTGTGATGTATTCTTGGTTACTTGTATGTTGTCTTAACTGCTGTGACTTAATACATTTACATGTTATGCAAGACCCTGCTGTAAAAACTTTGAGTGGATGGTTATGATTGGAACTTGTGTTCTGAGGATAAAATAGTGAGTGATTGCTTTAGGAAAGAAGCTGAACCTGGTACGGTACTATGGAGGTCTTTGAGGACAACTTGAAGGGTATGGGTTAGGTCTGCCCATGAAACCCAGTTAGTCACTGGTTGCTAATGGTTAGGGTTGTGATCTTTTGTCAGTAGTCAGTGACAGTTTCAGAAGGGACTGGAAATCTCAAGGTGTTTTTATTTGTATGTTTCCCACAAACTTGTGTTCTCAAGATTTTTCAGTTAATGCCTTTTAAACTGTTACGTAAAACTTCACCAGATGTTTCAAACTTCTATGACATCAAAGGCTTTTAAAACTGGTTATTTTGAACGTTCTCTGCTTTACTGTTCACAGTTTTTATTTAAAAACTGGTTCTTAGCATTACCGTTTTCTTTTAAGTTCATGTGGCTTTTTTTTTTTAAGCTTTAGGCTTCTTTTCTCTGCTGAATTGAATGAGAAAAACTGAGTTCTATTTTTAAATGCCATTATTCTTTTGAAGAAAAGCTTCAATTTAAAATATTTGTCTAAACTGCAAAGGGTTTCTATCAAGTGCTCGTGTTTCTAAAAGAATGAGTAACATGACCTTTTTAAATTTCAGAGAACAAGAGCAATGTCACAGTGCTCTAAATGTATGTCATTGTATTTTTTTTATTTTAATAGCATTTGAACTCTTATTAAGTAGAACTGAGTGAAATTAACAAAACTTAGAGAAAATTGTCTAGTATATAGGTTTTTAAGGCCTTATGAAACCTCTGGTGCTTCTGTGGTGTTTGTAAAAGAAGCACTAAAAGGGATAAAGAATGAAGAAAACATATATTTTTTTTCAAATTGGAAGTGTCTTTATTCTCTTCACAGACTATGAAAATATTTACACACTCATTACAAAAATTGTACACAATTCTCAAGGGTACGGAATAATGTTATCCAAAGCAGTATTCTGCACTGGTAGAAATGTTGTCTGCTGACTGGTAACCGTTAACCAACTACATGTGACTGGCTTTTGACTGCTTGAAATGTGGCATTGAATTTTTTTAATGGAAAAAAGGTAAAACAATATTTCATAACAAGATAATCAAAGAATAACAATGGGTATTGCATTGCTTATTATTATCTTTAAGTAGTTATTAGAGTGCAAGATATGGGCATAAAAAATTTGCCAGTTGATATTGACACAAACCTTCCTTTTCTATGAACTAAGAGATGCTAATAATGTTACTAACTTAACATTGTTTCTCACTTTTCATCCT